AGACACGGGATCTCTGGAATCAACGTATATATCTTTCAAAAATGAGTGCAGCTTGTTATCCTTGTTAGTAACTTCTCGTTCAATTTCTGGATGATGGCTCATCTGCTCCACCAGGAGCTTCTTGGTGGAAGGGTGTCTGGGAGCCGAGGACGGCTTCCTCTTGCTGATCTCCCGTTCCGCCCGGTTCTCCAGGTTGAAATTCCTGAGGGCGCGGAACACCGACGCCCCCATCTCTTCAGAGCATGGTGACCTCGGGGCCCGCGGCGCACCGGCGTGAGTGACCTCCGGACGCAGGGAGCATGCGCACGTCAGAGGTCAAAGCGGAACGCGCGCTGGACCGGAACACTCAAATTCCTGCTCGTCGCCCTCTGGCGGTCGGGAGGCTGCAACACTGGGGTGGTAAAAGAAGCGCTTCCGGCCCGATGTAGGACTCCTCCAATCAGAGGCTGTGCCCGCGAGCGAGGGGCGGGGCCTAGGCTGCGGACGTTGGGCGGTCCGGGAGGCGGAGCTACAAACTATGGCCGGGATGCTCGCCCATGCACCCCGCCCCACTGGGGGCGGAGTTCAGCCGGCCTGGCATTGGTTACTGCTTCCCACGTGACCCCAGTGGCATCCAATTTGACCCAGCCCCAGGTAGGTTTGGAGACGTTTCACAGACCTGCAGTCACCCTTTCCCGCTTCTATGAGAGGAAACGAAGGAAACCTGGTGCATTCTCCGTGACTGACTTTTCAGCATCCTTCATCTTCCTGGTGCGTCGGCCAGCCGCCTTCTTCTTTCTCCATGACCGTTGTGGGTGTGTGTGCAGATCCTGAACTCAGGATCTCCTGGTGGTTAGCTGGAGATGAGTCTCGCAGTCCCCCCTGCCCAGGCTGGCTTCGAACCTCGTTCCTCACGTCTCAGTCTCCCGAGTAGCTCGGATTACAGGCGTGTGCCACCGGCGGCACCCAGCTCAGGTTCCCTCTTATTTTATCTAGAGTTGTGAACATTAGTTACACTTTCCATTACCTACTTTTTCTATTTCAAATTTATTTCCCCATATAAACGAGCTCATCTCTCTCTTCTTCCTCCCAACTTTCTTCCAGCCTTTTCTTCCCATACTCTCCATCGCTGGATGAGTTTCTGTGATGCTGATTTTGTTTAAGGTTCTTTAGAAATGCTGAGAGTAGTCCACAAAAAAATAAAAGAGAAGCGCTAGGGAGGAAGCAGTAGCTTTGACATTTAGCATATCTTTTTACAGACTGGCTGCAAGGTCTTTTGGTGGTTTCAGCTTTGCTGCATGAAGTAGATCGGTTGTTTTGTAAACCAGGTTAAATAGAAGGAATAGAAACAAAGATAACTGAATCAACGTAAAAACTTCAAGAAATAGACAATTTGATTCAAAGCTGATGTCATTAAATATAAATCCTTAATCATAGCAAAAGCATAAGGAAGAACAGTTTCTAATAGATTATTCTGAAATTATAGAAACGAAGTGTTTTCTCATAGTTAATTGGTAAGATATCCTGAAGGTGGCAGGCTGATTCAAGATTTCTTTCTTTCAGAATAGTCGTAATTCTGTGCTCTTTAACCGATTTCTATTGTCAAGACACTTGTCATCTGCTTCGTTGTTTCAAAATGTACTTCAACACAGTGGGGGTGACAATTCCACTCACTGCTTGTTAACATTTTAAAAGTCAAAATCTTATTTTCATAGAAAATATGGCAGCATGAAGCAGTAACGTGAGACGGAAGCTAGAATGGATATTACAAAGTGAAAAGTTCTTGAGTTCCTACTTTCAGTCAGAGTTTGATTTCCCATTTAAAAGCATATCCAATGTGAGCTAGCTGGTTCACCTGGCACTGGCCTGGCCCTGTTCAGGCCCTCAAACAGCAAACCAGGACACAGAGGCACTTCATCAGAAGTGTATAGTGGGTGGACATTCCATTAGGGAAATGGAGCCTGAACAATACTTGCACAATCCCAGTTCCCATGTCAAAACATGTAAGTTAACAGCGAGTCTAAATTTAACAACTTTTATAAGGTCTGTGGAAAAAGTCGAAATCAGATCCCCATGGAAAGTTTTAAGATGTTGTTCAGAAATAAACTTTCTATCTGGGTGGTGTGTTATTATAAATGTTTGTAGATTAGTCTCTTAAGAGACTATAAATATTTTGAGGACAAAATTTTGGGCCCCTGCTGGATTCAACACATGAAAGTGTGCTCTAGTACAAAGTAGATAGAAAATAAATATCAAATGTCAAATGAAAAGACAAGTAGGAAGCCTGGCCCTGGATAGGTAGGTGGTCTTTGTTTGAATATTTCTAGAAGTGAGTCCTCTGAAAGTTCTTTTTCTTTGGGGATGGGGGAGGTCTGGTTGTGGGGCCTGAACTCTGGGCCTGGGCGCTGTCCCTCAGCTCTTCAGCTCAAGGCCAGCACTCTACCACTTGAGCCACAGCGCCACTTCTGGCTTTTTTCTATTTGCTTATGTGGTGCTGAGGAATCGAACCCAGGGCCTCAGGCATGCAAGGCAAACGCTCTACCACTGAGCCACCTTCCCAGCCCTCTGAAAGTTCTTTAATCTGGTTGACTTAATCTTGTTGGAACTACTTTTCTGTTTTCTGGAGGTACTGGTGTTTGAACTCAGGTCCTTGTACTTACGAGGCAAGCACTCTCCATTTGAGCCAGGCCCTAAGCCCTTTGGTGCCTTAGTTCTTTTTTTTTTTTTTTTTTGCCAGTCCTGGGGTTTGAACTCAGGGCCTGGGCACTGTCCCTGAGCTTCTTTTGCTCAAGGCTAGCACTCTACCACTTGAGCCACAGCACCACTTCTGACTTTTTCTGTGTATGTGGTACTGAGGACTCAAACCCAGGGCTTCATATTTGCATTGCCTTCCATCTTCCACAGAGGCAAGGGGAAGTTTGAAAAAGAACAAAAATATACTTTAGTTATAGCATATAAATGAAAGGATAAAATGATTATTTGAAAATTAAGAATTATTATTCAAGCACTGAATTCATATATTGGTAATATCTGTATCTATAGGTATGTATATATTTATATATGTATATGTTCAATTATATATATATATATATATATGTTCAATTTGCTGATTAGCATACTTGGTGGTGGCATTATTGAGCTATTAAAGTTGAGTTATCATGTTGGGGGCATAAAATCATAAATACCACCTCTGTTTTCCTTGACATTAGCTGCATTAATAACTCCCGGCCAGTCTCCTTAAGTCTCTCCTCTGTCCCGTTTATTCTTTCTCACTCTGTCTAGACTGGTATCATTGTACACTCATTCCTTTTAACGCGTAATTCAAAGCAGTCTGTGACTTCAGACACTGGAAGACAAGTGACTCACAGAGCCCAGAACAAGGCCCCGGGGTCACTGAGAAAACCCTAACCATAGTGAGCAGGGCAAAAGATGTACAGAGTAATGACACCTTGGCAGAAGTGTTTGGTGTTCGGAGAGAATGTCTCCACAGTCTGGACTCCAGATGAGGAGCAAGGGGATTTGTAAGTCTTCAAGTAAGGAACAAAGTTCCCAAGCTTAGTGCATTTCATAGTAATAAAGTGCTGTATGTTTCTGAAAAGTACATTCGTGAGGTACCTCTATCCAAAACACTTAGAATTTGTGCAGATCCAGTTCTCAAATGGAGAAATACTAGAGATTCAAGATTAGAATTATTAGTTAGTAGTTACACACAAATGTAACACTGTTGACTTTTGTCATTATATTAGTTTCCCATTGTTGTTGACAAGTTATCACAAAAAAAAATGGCTTAAAGCAACAATTATCTTACAGTTCTAGAAATCAGAAATCCCAAATATATCTGGTTAGATAAAAAAAAATGTGCTGGGAAAGTTGTGTGTCTCCTGGAAACTACAGGAAAATAGCTTTTCTTGTATTTCTCTGCTTCTAGAAACTGCCTGCGTGTTTTGGTAGCTGGATACTGCATCACTGCAATGTTACGTTTCATTCTCTTAAGTATGGCTCTCTTGCCCTCTTCTTTTCCCTTTTATCCCTTAGTGATTATTCCATGCTTCTCTTGGTAAACTAAGGTAGTCTATTCATTGAAATACCCTCAATTTAGTCACATGCACAAATTGCTTTTTTCCATTTAGGATTACAATCCATACATTTAAGGAATAGGAGACAAACATCTCTAGGAGACTATTTTTCTGTCCACTGTACTTATCCCCTCAGAATATCCACATCTAACAGTGCAGCTATGATCAGTTAAGTAAAACAGAATGCTTGAGTGCCTACTATGATTCATTCAACTTCATGGACCTTACATTCCTTCCTTGTATTCACCTTTAGAAAGCAGGTACTCCTAGGGAAGGTAATCCATTTGTGGCCTATTAATTCTCTGGACTTAAGTCTGAAAAGAGGGAGAAAGGAATGAGCAGAGCAAATGTCAATGGGAAACAAAAGAAATAAGAAAGAAGGAAAGAAAAGAGCAAGAGTGCCGTGTCCCAGGCAGAGAGGGAACGTATGCCTCCATACAGCTGAGGAGACCCACCCCGACTCCCCTTCCAGCAGTTTCTTCTCTTGCCCCTTAATTGTGTGAACTATAGTGAAAGATTTTGAAAGAACTTATTAAAACCTGTGGACCAGCTAAAGCAATACTGAAAGAAAATATGTGTATATTAAATATTTTGTATATGTATGCATAGTAAATGTAACTCAGCAAACTAGAAATATGGAAGATACATACATGTGAAGGAAGCATTCAAGTTAGAAAGGAAAATCAAAATACAAAAAAAAATTGAAGTAAGCATTCAAGTCAGGAAAGAAAAATACAAAAAAATTAAAGATGAGATAAAATATAAAACAATTATCTAGAAAAGAAAACTGGTTGTTAGAGACTATAAAATCAGACAAATCTGAGTAAACATAAGGGAGAAAATAAAAGACCTTAAGAATATTTTGGAATTAATATAGTAACATGCATAATGAAATCACCAAAGAAACATAGGTCCCATGGTTTCCCTTATTTGCAAGAACTAGTCTATGTCTGAGTCGAGCAGAAAAGGTCAGATAAGTTGATGTTAGGGGAATGAACCCCAAGATAAGTATTCAAGTGTTTTTTTTTGTTTTTTTTCCTTTCATGCAATTGTTTCTATCATATTTATAAGATGATTTCTATGTTGCTTTGTATGTCCCTCCCCACAGTATAACCCATACTTTCATTGTATTTGATGTTGGTATAATTTGTGGAGGGGAAGGGGAAAAAAATCGTTTAACTAGGGATACAGGTGGACCCATTGCAACAATGAGATGTATAAGTCGAAAAAGGAACTTAACAACTTTG